TGCCATCCTAACAGTAGCTTGTTTATGCCAGCAGCGAAGAAGCCTGGAGAGCAACTGGAGATGAAATCTCAAAAGGCGATTCCCACAGCTTGTTGAGAATTGAATATTTTTCCTTGCAAAAAGTGGTCCAAAGGCTAGAAGAAGTGGTAATCAGATGTGCAAGGTCTGGTGAATACGGTGGATGACAGAGCGTTTCCAATTCCAGATGCTGTAGTTTGAGCAGCTTTATTTGTGCAATATGTAGGCGAGCTTTGTCTTACAAGAGGATTAACCTTCCGAAAGACTGTTGATATTTTGAGCTGTCTGCACTGTACTGGTTCCACAACAGAACTCATATTCAAAAATAACACGAATTTTTGACTTATCCGTTGTTTCAAAAATTGCTCTAAAAAAAATTTGAAAGATAATCACAAGCCAAAACATACATTTGCAAGACTGAGGATGTATCTTCACAATAAAAATAAAACAGGAAGTGAATTGTCAAAGTTAAATGTCTGAGATATCAACTGTCAAACTTAGTACTTAAGGAAATCGTACATTTCATCCTGAATAACCTAATATTTGTAAATCATGTATCTGATAAGGGATTGATATCCATAATACATAAAGAACTCTTATAACTCAACAACAACCAAAAAAAACCCAAATGGAGTGTGGTGGCTCACACCTATAATTCTAGCACTTTGGGAGGCTGAGGCAGGAAGATTGCTTAAGGCCAGGAGTTTGAGACAAGCCTGAGCAAGAGCAATACCTTGTCTCTACAAAAAAAAAAAAAAAAAGAAAAATCAGCTAGGCATGGTGGTACATGCCTGTAGTCCCAGATACTTGGGAGGCTGAGGCAGGAGGATCGCCACCGCACTCCAGCCTGGGCAACAAAGCGAGACCTTGTTTTAAAAAAAAAAAAAAAAATCAAAATTGGACAAAGGACTTGAATAGACATTTTTACAAACAAGACCTAAAAATAGCCAATAAGCACATAAAAAGATGCACAACATCACTGATCATCAGGGAAATGCAAATTAAAACCACAATGAGATAGAATTTCATACCCATTAGAGTAGCTATAATTTTTTGTAAAAAACAGAATATAACAAGTATTGACAAGGATATGGAACAACTGGAACTTTTACACATTGCTGATAGGAATGTAAAATAGTGCAGTCACTGTCAAAAACAGTATAGTGATTCCTGAAAAAATTAAACATATTATAAAATTACCACGGGATCTAGCAATTCCACTTCTGGGTAAGATCCAAATAAATTGAAACCAGGGTCTCAAAGGGATATTTGTAAACCTATGTTCACAACAGCATTACAGCCAAAAGACGGAACCCAAGTGTCCAGGTATGTGCATACAATGGAATATTATTCAGCCTTAAAAAAGAAAAGGACATTCTGTCACATGCTACAATATGGATGAACTTTGAAGAATCTGTGCTAAGTGAAATAAGCCAGTCACAAAAGGACAATATTGATTCCACTTACATGAAGTATCTAGAGTAGTCAAATTCAGAGTCATAAAGTACAATTGTGGTTACAAGGGGCTGGGAGAAGGGGAGAAAAGGGAGTTAGTGCTTAAGGGGTACAGAATTTCAGTATGGAAGCTAAAAAAGTTCTAGAGATGGATGATAGTGATGACTGCACAACAATGTGAATGTAATTAATGCCGCAAAACTGTACATTTAAAAATGGTTAAGATGGTAAATTTTATGTTATATACATTCTACCACAAAAAAAGAAAAAAACTAATAATACCAATCTTATATAAACTTGTCCACAGATTATCAAAAGAGGGAATACTTCCCAAATAATTTAATGAAGCCAACATATCTATGACATTCAAAACAGGTATAAGGACATTACAAGAAAGGAAAGTCACAGGCCAGTATCACTTATAAGCATAGATGCAACAAAATTTAACATATCAAATCCAACAATACGTAAAAACAAAAAAAAATAACCAAATGGTGTTTATTCCGGGAATGCACGGTTAGTTTAACATTTGAGAACTCAATTGATGTAATTCACCACATTAACAAAATAAAAGAAAAATCAGGTATCAAATCATTCGATGTAATATTTGATAAAATTCAACATCCATTCATGATTTTACAAACTTGCTGGAAAACAAGGAATAGGAGAGAATTTCCTTAACTCAATAAAAGGTATTTATAGCTAACAACATACTTGATGATAAAATATTGAACATTTTCCTACTGAAATTGGAAAAGAAGGCCTATTCCCATGAGTCTGCTCCACACATTAATATAAGAGAGAGGGCAATAATAAAAGAAAAAGAAATAAAAGATACAAGCATTGGATAGAAAGATGTAAAACCGTGATTATCTGGAAATGAAATGATTATAATAAATAGGCAATCTAAAAGAACCAACCAAAAAGTTTTAGACAAGTTAGAAAGGCCACTGGATAGAAAGTCAATATACTAAAATCAATTGTATTTCTAACTACTGGTAACAAATTATTAGAAAATAGATTTTTCTTTAAAAATAATGCTATTTATAACATCAATAAAGAGGTAAAATTTAATGAAATATATGCAAAATCTCTCCGCAAACTTCAGAACATTGCTGAGAAAAATTAAAGGCCTAAAAATACAGAAAGCAATTGCTCATTACATGAATTGAAAAATTCAATACTATGTTGACTCAATATTTTAATATGTTATTTCCTCCCAAATTAATCTACAGATTCAATGTAATCCCAATGAAAATGCCAATAGCTTTCTTTTTTTAGAATTCTAAAAATTATAAACTGAAATTAAAATGTAGAAATACAAAGGACCTAAAATAGTAATGACAATCTTAAAGGAAAAAAGAACTAAGTTGTAGGAATTACACTATATCAACTTATTATAAAAGCTACAGTAAAAGATAGTATCAAGTGACACAAGAATAGACAAACAGATTACAGAATAAAGAGCTCAGAAACAAATCCACATGCATACAGCAACCTGATTTACAGCAAAGGCTTACTGCAATTATGTAGGAAAAGAATAGTTCAACAAATGGTGTAGATCAAATGAATATCAATGGAAAAAAATGAATCTTGACCTCTACCACATATACAGAAAAATTAGTTTGAGATGAGTCAAAGAATACAATAAAGGTCCTAAAAGAAAACATAAAAATATCTTCATGACCTTGGAGTGAGCAAAGATTTCTTCAACAAGACAAGAAAGCCCTAACCATAAAGGAAAAAATTGATAAAGATTAATAAAAACTATTAACTTCTGTTCATCAAGACACCTTTAAGAATAAAAAGACAAGCCACAAACTGAGAGAAGATATTGCAAAATATATCTGGCAAAGGACTCATTTCCAAAATATATAAAGAACTCCTACATGTAAGACAGAAACCCAATTTTTTAAAAAGGCAAAAAACTTAGAGACTTTACAATAGAGGCCAATAAGCATATAAAAAAAGTGCTCAACTTCATTAGTCATTAAGGAATGAAAATTAAAATTACAATGAGATATCAATACACATCCATCAAAAAGGCTAAAATTAAAATAAAAAACATACCAAATAATATCAAAAATGTGAAATAAGTGGAACTCTCACACATTGTTGGTGAGACTATAATTGATACAACCACTTTAGAAAACTATTTGGCAGTATCTATTAAAGCTAAACATATGTCTACCTCCTAGGTATATACCTAAGAGAAATTAATACGTATGTCCAGCAAACTACTTGTACAAGAATGTTCACAGTTTTCTTCATAACAGCCAAAAGTATGAACAACCAATATGTCCACCTATAGAATAGATAAGCAAATTGTGGAATTTTTATACAGTGGACTAATACAGGCAATACAAAAAACAAAACTACTGCTCATCCAACGACGTGGGTTAATCTTAGCCATAATGTTGGAAAAAACAAATCAAACAAGTAATTCCAATTTACTTGAGGTTCAAGAACAGGTGAAACTTGTCTAGGTTGATAGAAGTTTGATCAGTACTTACCTCTTTTAGGAGTGAAGAGTACTGATTAAAAGTGGAATAGGTGACCTTTCGGCATGCTGGAAATATTCTATTTCTTGATCTGAATGGTAGTTACACAGGTGTATACATATTTAAAAACTGAGCTGTTATACTTAGGATTTGTGCTCATTAAAAAAAATAAAATGAAAATATTAAGACACTCAACTAACCTTGGAGAGAGAAGGGGGAAGGAGCCAAAAATATTATTTCCTAGTGTTAAATCTAATTATTCAGTAATAAAAGAGGCAGTGGAATATAACTAAAAATTATTGATGATAACTACCACCAACAGATTAGTCTTCCCTTATCTCCTAAAAAGCAGTCAGTCTCTTACTCTTCTGAGCTTTCACAGGTCCTCGAGCCTAACATAATTGCTTGGCATAAATGTACTAAGTGAATTAATGAATATGTAAACTTTGAAGTTACAGTTCATTTGCATCAGACCATTCTCATGTTAAAAGAAACGAAACTTAAACGATTAATAAAGAAGTTTCCAATTTTACTGGCATTCTCAATCTGTCTACTCAATACTCTGAGTATGCCCTGAGTAATGTCATCTTTACTAGTGAGAGAGACAGAACTTCCCTTTTATGATCTGAACTTGCTGTCTTTCAGACCCTTCCATTGCCCAAAAAGGAAAACAGGAATGTAATATTACCCACCTTCTTACAGAATTTTGACAATATAAATTAGCATATTTGTAATGCTTGAGAATTGAGTAAACAGGCTGAGTAATTCTCACAAGAACACTGAAATTGTTTTCCCGTCAGTCAAAGCAACTTTGAGGAATCATATTCTAATAAATCATCACTAGGAACAAACCATTAAAAAGATTTCTGTAAAATAAGGTCCCTACTTTCAGGGGAGTCCAAAATACATTAGCAGAAAAATCACGTTTTTATGTTTTCAGTCTACACTTACAGCATAAGCGCAAGAAACAACGGATTACATCTAAAACAAGCTGAAAATGTTTTCAGTGACAGCTACACATCTTACCTGTTCCAGCACATCCAACTTTAACTCAAGCTTGCTGAGAACCACGTCTCCACCCCATAGTGAAAGCTGTAGATCCGATGGCTTTAAGTTCTTGATGTAGCGATTCACATAGCTCATTAAAATTGGAGTTACATATGACTCCAGCATCTTTTCGGTGAGGAGTCAAAGTCGGAAGCTGAAATGGGTGAAGACAGAAACGTTAGAACTACTTTAGTAGGCGGTGCAGCGAAGGCAAAAGCATTTCTCTGGCCAAAAAGCAGCAGACCATACCAAAACGGCGGCTCGCCTCCTCCCATGAGCAGAGAAAACTCAAGCGGACTCCCCGCTCCAGCCGCGACTTCCTCACTAGTACAACTCCCCTCACCTCCCCTGACGAGGGGTGGAAGGAAGAGATAATGACCAGAAGAGAGCCGGTTTCCAGGAGGGGGAGAATGAAGTGAAGCGGGATCCCCTTTGGCCCCTGCAGCCCTTCACCAACCCAGCCACACCGCGAGGCCTTCGCCTCCCGGAACCCAGCCGAATCTGCCACCACAGAACCAGAGCTAGAACCAGAACTAGAGCCAGGCCCCCCCTCCCGCTCGCGCTTCCTCTGCTGACACTCACGCCAAACAGTACCGTGGCGCCCACTCCACCTCCCGGTCTCTGGCACCCGCCCCCGGAGGCGACGCAGCTCCCGCACAGCTCCACTTCCGGGAGTGCCCCACTCGGTGCTCAAAGTAAATTGTCCCTCCTCCCTCACCACTCGCCTCAGCTGCTGGACCGGATTACTCAGGCTGAAGAGGCTACTCAGTGCGTCCTCTTGAAGTAGAACTCTTGAGTTCGGCTACCCTACGTCCCCGCTCTGAGCCCTCTAGTAATTAGGACAAAGCTCTAGGAAGTCTGGGGGAGAGGGGCGGACCGGTAAAGTGGAGACACCGGAGATCCGGAAGTGGCGCTTCAGGGAGAGGGTTGCTGCGGGTGACAGGGCCCAAACGCCCGAGGCGTTCCCGAGGTGGCGGTCTGGCCTGGGTGGGGAAGTACGGAGGATCACTGGTCCGAAGCAGAGGAAGAAACAGGACCTAGTACTTAAAGCCCTGAAAAAAGAGAAGTTGTTTCTCTTGGGAAATGGATGGACTGGGAAGAGGAACTTGGGTTCAGGGGGGAGAGCAGAAGCAATAGGCCGCAGGTAGGAGGAGGGAGGTAGGGAGACAGATTTAAATTTAGTCGGGGTTAATTGGCTAAAGGGAGGGTGCATGCGGGAAGAGAATTGAAGGGATAGGATGTACAACTCTGGAAGATGCGTTTTGACCAAACCTGTAGACGAGCTCTCGCGTTACTTCCGCAAAGCAATGGTAAAGAATTCCCTAGTTTGCTGATGCGGGGCGGGGGAGGAATGATCAAAGTGAAGATTGTGGGGAACCATTTGATTGCAGTCTGACGTGGGACTTCAGAAAAGCTGCGGGAATATCAAAATGACGACGTTAATGAGAGTCCTGAAGACAAAGTGAAAATAGCTGAGAAGGAATGAATTCAGAGTTTTAAGTGTCACTGTAGGTTTTATTAGGCTGTATAAAATATTACCTTTGTGATATCTTATAAGCTAACAAAGTCAAGAAACTCAAGCATCTAACTCAGAAAATATACACTGGGCTTAAAGGGCTAGCACAGGATATGCTGCCTAATTTTTGACCACCTTCTCTTATTTTTGGTAGCCTCTGAAGAAAACACCTACCACTGCATTTTGAAAGTAGACTTTCCTAATAAGTTTATTAAATTCCCACTCGTACCTAAAGCTCTTTACTGGAATTAAAAATTACTATTTCTTGAAAGAGCTCTAGTAACTGCAGTAAACTGCAATAGAAAAGAGGTGTAAGTTTGGATGCCATGGTGTTTAGATTTACTATTAATGAAAATAATGAACTAAGCATCACACAAAAAAGCAGCTAATTGCTAATTCAGAGCAGCCTTGATGAATAAACAAAAAGCCTTGATGAGTAACTCAGATAACTCTGGGCACTATGGAAACCTGCCAAATTAGCCAAATAAGTGATTTTTTTAGTTATCTGCATCATTTGAAATACAAACAGGTTAAAGCCATGACTTAGATGTTTTAATACAAAGAAACTGGTTCCATTAATTGCATAGAGGTTCTCAGTGGTCTACAACAGGAGCTACAGGTCTTGTCATTTTTCTAGGAGAAAAAAAAAAACTCCTAGTTTTATTGTGTGATGATCTAGTAAATAAAAACAATGTATTAAGATAAATTGGCCAGATATAGGAGTAGTAGGTGAATAAGATGTTTAAGCAAAATAATAATGCATGGAATACTATACATTCTTTGTTCCAGTATGCCATTTTTTTCTTGGAGCCAAAAAAAATAACCAAATTCCTGGCTTGTGAAAATTATCTGGGCACTGTTTTTTGGGGTTTTTTTAAGTATCGCAAATTAGTAGTTTTCAACCTGTGTTCTTTTGTGCCCTGTTCTACAGTCTGGATAAATTTAATAATTCCTTTTCACTAATACATTTCATTACTCGTGTTTTTTTAAATGGCAAATGGGCAGCCTTTCCCAAATCTCCTACTATTATATGTCTTTTTATTGTAAGATTTTCCCCGCCCACACACAAATATGGTTTAAGTCTTCTCAAGACTTTAAGGCAGGTTGCTTATATAGACAATAGTTCTGCAGAGGTAGGCCTTGTTCTTAGCAGGAAACCTTCAAGTTTGTCACTGTTATGTATGTTGTTAGTTACAGGTTTTTTGTAGATATTCTTTAGCAAAATCGAGGAAGTTCCCCTCTATTGCTAGCTTGCTGAGAGTTTTTTTATGATTGAGTGTTAGATTTTGTCAAATGCTTTTTCTGTAGCTGTTGATATGATCACGTGATTTGTCTTTAGCCTGTTATTGTGACAGATTACATTAACTGATTTTTGAATGTTGAACCAGCCTTGCATATGTGGGTTAAATCCTACTTGGTTGTGGTTTATCATTCTTTTTATACATTGATGGATTTGATTTGCTAATATTTTTGTAGAGGATTTTTGCTCTATGTTCATGAGTGATATTGGTCTGTAATTTTCTTATAATGTCTTTATCTGGTTTTAGTATTATGATAATGCTGGCCTCAGAGAATAAGTTAGGAAGTATTCCTTCTGCTTCTATCTTCTGAAAGATTGTAGAGGATTGGCATAATATCTTCTAATATCTTCCATAAATGTTTGGTATTATTCACCAGTGAATCCATCTGGGCATAGTGTTTTCTGTTTTTAGAAAGTTATTAACTATTCAGTTTCTTCATTTCTGTTAACACTTGTTTTTGATCTTTAGCATTTCTTTTTGATTATTTCCATCTTTCTGCTTACATTATCCTGCTGTTCTTGCATGTTGTCTACCTTTTCCATTAAAGTCCTTAGCATATTAATCAGTTTTTTAAAATTTCTGGTCTGATAATTCCAACATTCCTGGCATATCTGACTGTGGTTTTGATGCTTGTTTAGCTTCCTCAAACCGTATTTTTTGCCTTTTAGTATGCTTTGTAATTTTATGTTGAAAGGTAGACTTGATGCACTAGGTAAAAGGAACTGCAGTAAATAGGCCTTTAGTAATGTGGTGGTAAGATGTGAGGGCAGGGGAAGCATTCTGTAGTTCTATGATTAGGTCTCAGTCTTTTGGTGAGCCTACACCTCTGGACTGTGAACTTCACCACTGCTTCTTGGTCTTTTCCCCTGACTTAGGTCAACAGGATAGCTAGAATGGGCTGGAGTTGGGTATTTCCATTCCCTCGGGTCAGCTGAGCTCTGATTTAAAATTAAAAAAAAAAAAAAAACAGCAGGTTAGGCTCTAGTAAAATAGTTTCTCTTGAGGACAGACTTTGTTAAAAAAAATTGAATGCTATGGTGTATTTCAGAATAGTTCCTCTTCCCCTCCCCCTGCCAGAGCACATGAGGGATTTCTCTCCCATATTCACTGAAACGACCTGGTAGAGGTCCTCTGTTGCCCAGGTTGGAATGCAGAGGCTATTCACAGGTGTGAATATAGTGCACTACAACCTCAAACTCCTAGTCTCTAATGATCCTCCTGCCTCAGCCTCCTTGGAGTTTTTAACTGTCAGACTGGTCAACACTGAGCCTCAAGCAGTTTGTGGATTACAGTTTAGGTTTTCCTAGCACTGGTTCCAGGGGAGGTTTCTGCTCTGGTAAGTTGTAATTCTCTGTACTCTCCTGTCTGTCTCTCTAATTTTGGGAACAGTGGTTTGCCCTGTGACCTTACTTCTCTGACAGATCTAAGAAGAGTTGTTGATTTTTCAGTTTGTTCAGCTTTCTACTTGTTAGTACAGAGAGGCAACTACTAAGCTCCTATGTGCCAGACTGGAAACTGGAAGTCTCAGGTGAAGTTATTAGATACTTGAGTGGTGTTTAAAAGATTGAAAAATGTAGGGAAGGACTCCTTTTTTTTAATTTAGTTTTCTGTTATGTGTAGTGTATGTATGGGATCTTCAAGTACAGGGACTTGTATCCCTAGTGCCTCGCATATTATGTGGTACTTAATAGGTTATGACAGTAATTGACTATAACAATTATTCAGGAAATCTGCTTCTCTTTTCCGCATATACATATGGCTAGATTATTATTCAGGCTGTCAAGTCTTGTCAAGTAACTGAGTTCTGACCACCTGAATGCATACAGAAATGATACAGGCACGGGCCTGGCTCCTAAAAGCCTTCTACGTAATAGGCTTAGTCTTTTTCCCAAGCTTGATAAATAGGATGCAGAAGACTCCAAGGGCAAAAACTAGGGGGATGAATCCGTGAATTTTTGTCTAGTGAAATGCAAACTGCTGATTAGTAACATCTACTAGGATTTTACATGATTAAGAAATAAATACTCTTAAAGTTACTGAGATTTGGGGATTTATCTGTCATAGCTGGCAGCAGCATTTTAAATAATTCATAGGTAGATAATAGACATGAGCTAAACTTAATTCAACTTTCTTCAGAAACATTAAAATTATAACTTGATTTACTCATGAAATGATCATTGTTTAATTAAGTTTTAAAATACACTTATCTAGACAATCACTCAGTATTCATTAAATGTATTTTATATGTTATACCGGGTTACATCTGTAACAAAACATATGGCAAGATGAGGAAGCCCAAGGCATAAAAAGGTTAAGTGAACTTCCTATGGTCATAGCCAATCAACCCAAGCCTTCTGACTTCATTGCTCCCTTTTTGAGAAGGAAAAAAAGAAACAGAAAAGGAAAACCGTTAATTACTACAATCAACAGAGCAACTCTAAGTTTTCCAGATTCACACCCATCAGATTG